TCTTTTAATTTATATACGTAATTTTCTGATTTTAGAAAAAAAAAAGAAGAGGATGTTATATACATTAATTGTTCCATATATATATATATATATATATATATTAGTTATTGTCTTTCATTATAATCAAAGCATTCTTGTCAATTCAATAATAATGATTCGGCGAAATCCTTTAAATAAACTTGTCAATAAATTTTATTAATTAAACACTCGAATTATTGTTTATTCTAATTAAGCACCTCTCTCTCTATGTATATATAAATAAGTATTCGATCAAACATGGTTGTATTGGATCATAATTCCTTTACTAGTGATGGAAAAAAAAGAATACAATTGCATTGGATCATACAAATATATCAGTTATTTGTTAAATATATATATAAAATAAACACTTATAGTTAGAGACGGAGTCAAAATTTTCAGAATAAGAGGGTTCATAATATGTAGAAATCGATAGCTGAAAGAGGTTCGACATCTATTATATATACTTATAAACTTATTTAATCTTATATGAATAATATAATTTTTCGTCGAAGGAGAACCCCCTTCATGGAATGTAGCTCCGCCCCTGCTTATAGTCCATATTAATTATAAAATATAAATAATTTAATAACATATATACCTCTTTATTATTTTAACCGATTCCCCATTATATTTTTGGCTATACGAACCCTTACTCAATTATAGTAGCCACAAAGACAAATACGATATAATTTTTTATTATTTTATATTGTTTAAATTGATTCCCATTATATTATTTTGGCTACATAAACCCTTATTATTGGTCACATTCAACAATAGTAACCGCAGAGACAGATACGATCAGATTTATCTGGACTTAATATACAACCCGCGCTCATGAATCTATCTTTATATTTATCCTTACAACTAGGCATACAATCTTCATCCACCTTGCATGTTATATCGTAAATTGGAGTAGCACATTGCAAATCTTTAATTTGATGCTCTTGAGCAATTGTCATGTTAAGAACTATATGACCAAAAAAAAAATCAATTAAAGAATTCAACTCAAGAAAATAATATGTGTAATAAAAACAACATAAATAAATCTCCAAAAGATAGTACTAACTTTTCAATTAATGTAATATTAATAATTAAATAGATAAAATGTAAAACCAAAAATATATTTTTTCTTTTAAAAAATTGAGTGTAAATGCACAAACCTGACAAAAATGTGATAATAAGAAGAAAACAGTAGTAAATTGAAACTTTTGCCATTTTTTATATTTTGATTATATATTGAGTCTGTGTTTTTGAGAAAATGTTATGAATTATCTAGCCATGGTTATAATATTTATATAAAAAAAAATTGGGTAGTTTTATGATTTAATTAGGATTAAGATAGAGTTATTACATTTAGTCCATTTTATTATTCCTATAAAATGTTCAGGAAAGTAACATTAAATATTTTTTGTCAAAATATGTTTTAGGTGAGGTTTATATTTTAATTATGTAGATTTTATTACTTTTTTTATTTTATCTTATTTAAAACGTTACTCAAACTGTTGTGTAAATCTAAAGTTTGACTCAAAGAAAATACTTATTTTTAAATTATTTTGATTTGATTATAACCAAATATTATATGATGAAAAGAAAAGTGAAGTTTTACTTATATTTCACAAAATTCTTATATTAACAATTAACATATATATTTTTGCCTATGAAATCATAACTCAAATGTATCTAAGAACAAAATTATGTTAAAAAGATAATATTATATTGTAAATTGATTTCTAATGTCTTTCTCATGGATCAATATAACAATAATAACATATTCAGTATAATTTTATAATTACAATTTACAAATGAGGTCGGAAGAGGATGTCTCATCACCAGTATCTTTGTAAAATATAGAGATTATATCTAATAGATGTCGAATTAAGAAAATTAAAAATTACTTATCAATAAAAAAGTCATGTACTAAAATGGTTTTTTGGAAGCATTCTTGATTGAAGAAAAAGATAATACTTCTTCGTTTTCAATTTGTTTGTTATTTTTTTCTTTTTAATCTATTTAAAAAAGAATTAGCAATTTTTTAATTTTAATTTTCCACATTATATGTTTGTAACAACAAGATTAACATACATTTTGGTAAATTCTAATATAACAACAACATACCAGTAAAATTTTACAAGTTAGGTGTGAGGAGGATAAAATGTATGCAAACCTTATCACTATCCGTAGAAGTAGCGAGACTGTTTTCTAAAAATCCGCAAAACCAATCCAGGTTTTGATATACATATAT